CCCCTGAGTGGCCATAAAATGGCCATAAATCTATGCAGACAGCCACCATAAAACCAAGAAATCAAAGGATGTGAAAGCGGCATGCAGTCTGGACACTGCCATAAAATTCGACAATCAATCAAAGTTGCAGAGGGGAATTTCTGTTCCAGTGTGGGTTTGGTAAGACAGTAGGGCAAATGCTAGACGCAGATCGAGCCATGGTCTGCTCAGCTGTGCACACAGGGAATGGCAGGCAAAGTGTGGCAAGGACTGTGCTCACTGCTGAACATACAGGGTTGATCAGGGGGCCCCTCCCCTGGGAGACTTCCTGCAGGGTGACCCCGGTTGACCCAGAGGCACAGCGACCAGGAGTCAAGACTAGCCCATCCCAGACCCTCGGCAGAAGCATTTTTGTAATATTTCCCCCCTGTGATGTGAACGTCTGCAGAAACAGCAGGAGAGCCCTTGGAAATAACCAAAGGAATCTTTTATTGTGACATTATTTTATGGACTGCATAATAAAACAAGTACTGATGAGCTGGGTAATCCAGTAGGATAAACATGGCTGTTTATGTATTCCTTTATAGGGCATAAAATTCTTCTTCAAAACTAAGTGAGGATAATCGTATGTTCTACTTGATCCCACTTTGACTTGTATTCCCATAACAACAAAAAAACCAACCTAACTTTCCATGTTCCCTCTGATAAATGCCTACTAATTTTAAATAACGAGTCCAGTGGCACACACGTGAATGCTGATACCCAGAATAAAACTTTGTTGGTCTTATAGCTGCCACTGGACTGAGACGGATTTCCCACAAGCAGCCGCACTGCCCTCGCTCTTCCCTTCCACTGATTGTATTCGGTCAATTTCCCACTACTTGCTGAGCGGCCACATTTTGACCCACGGCATCCCCCAATTTTCCCCACATCTTCTTGATTTAAATAAACAAGAATCTAGAAGACGCGGGGGATGCTGCGGGTCAAAATGTGGCCACACAGCAACTAGTTGGAAATTGACAAATACAATCGGGGGAAAGGGAAGAGCGAGGGAGGCGCAGCTGCTTGTGGGAAATCGGTCAGACTTTGTTCTGCTGCTTAAGACCAACATGGCTACCCACCCAAATCTACTAATTTTTAAAGTCATGCTAGGTTCAAAACACAGGGTTCTCAAACCCAAACAGTTCAGGGAAAACCCAGTTCTTAAGAGTTTATTTAAATATTTATTTATTTAGATATGTATCCCCTACTTATCTCTCCAATGGCGGCCTGAGGAAACTCATGTAATTCTCCATTTTATCCTCTTAACAGCCCCTCTTGTGAGCAGTGTTCCCTCTAAGCTGAGCTAGTGTGAGCTAGTTCACAATTTTGCAGCCTCTGGCTCACAGATTTTTTGTCTCAGCTCGGGAAGCAGGGCTCCAGAGCAAACTAATTTATGCAACAGCCAAATCACTCGCTCACAACTTTAATGCCAGTAGCTCACAAAGTAGAATTTTTGCTCACAAGACTTCACAGCTTAGAGGGAGCATTGATTGTGAGGTATGTTAGTGACTGATGCAAAGTCACCCCAGCTAGCCCTCATGGCACAATGGCAAGGCTTTGAAGCTGGGCCTCCCAGCACTCTAAACACTACCCAGAATTAGGAGTCCAGGAGATGGTGGCAAAGAGCTGCAGTATACTGCATGGTGACATTGCAAAGAATCAGAGCCTGCAGCTAGATGAATGCCGTAAACGGGCCCTACAGTTTAATGGCAGAAAAAGCATAAAGTACCGGACACCAAGAGTAGCTGCCCCAGGTCCCGTGCTGAGGGGGACCTCACTCTAGGACACACACACCCCACTGCCTTGCAGTCAGCTGCCCCAGCCACTGACCTGAAGGCCCCACCGCTGCCCAGTCACTGCTGGCGCCCCAATGCCTGAGACTCAGGGCCCCCAACCACCCTACAGCTAGTCACCCTCCCACCATACCACCCAGAATTGTCTCAGAAGGGATCTTAAATTCACATGCTGCCCATTCCAGCCGAACATCACTTTTTGTTCTGTATCTCTTTTATTTCTCTCCTACTGGTGTGGGAAATCCCTCCTCAACTGCCAAGTGTTTAAATTATAGAAATTCTCCTAGAAATGGATCCAGCTTGTGATACGAACGTATCAAAACTCCTTTGCACTAAAAAAAAAATTGTTTTGTTTTTCCTAGTCTGAACCAATATCCTGGTATAAAGCCGGAAGGAGACCAAAATAGTGAAGTAGGAAAACAATTATGTGATAGGGGACTTAAAATTTGCTTTGGGAGATACTCTTCACACACTTTGGCACTGTGAAGTCTCACACTTGAACTTTTCAACTGCTTTGTTCTTACAGAAGACTTCAACTTATGCCTGTGGGCGTGACTAGTGGATATTGCTGGATTATCCTAGGACACAGTAAGATTAGACAACACTCCTAAAAAGGGTGTGTATAACCTTGTGATGTAAGGGTAATTCACTCAAGTCTAGTGACTCACTGCCATAGGAGCTGCAGTCTGGCATTGCGAAAGGTCTAAACTGAAGTAATTAAAGGCCACCTAAGTAATAGCTACAACCCTCTAGCCCATTCTCTCAACTTTGCATTACAACTTTACTTTAATGATCGTACAGTTTGCTCTCTGTTAATCTTAAAGTAGTTTACACTAGATTTAGAAGCAAGTGATGAGGCTTAACTAAAACTGAGTTGAGCAGGGCTCAGAGAAACAACAGATGGCTAGAGTCAGCATATCTTAAGCACTTCTTACACTCTCTGTTAAATAAATTCTTCTGTCTCATAGACTTCTATTTCGCCCATCATCATCATCATCATCATCATCATCATCATCATCATCATCATCATCATCATCATCTCAATTTATATCCCACCCCTCCTGCAAACGGGCTCAGGTCAGCTCACAACAATAAATACAAACAATCTAAATTAATACAAGAAATAATACAATTAAACCAGTTTATAATTTAAAGTAATTAAAATATTTAAACTAGGTGGTACAAAGCAATTAATTCCAGTCACTAAAACCAGGCAAAATAAGTGGGCCAATGCCCAGCCATGATATTTATTTATTTATTTATTTATTCAATTTATTCCCTGCCCTCCCCACCGAAGCGGGGTCAGGGCGGCTTACATAGAGATTAAAACACATAAACAACAAATTATAAAACAATCATAAAACAATCCATTATCGTAAAGTGCTCGTGACAGATCTAATACTAATGGCAATGCTTACAGATGGCGGAAACAATCATAGTGATGTGTTCAGATGGCCTATATTGATGGTCAGCTCATCTTGGCCTCTGTATTTATGAGGTGGCACAGGCTGTTGGTGGTAAGCGGGGGACCAGGGCACTGCCACTTTTCAGTTACTTGAGGCAACTCCTTAATTGAAGGCCTGGTAGAAGAGCTCCATCTTGCAGGCCCTGCAGGACTGTACAAGGTCCCGCAGGGCCCTGATCTCTCCTGGGAGCTTGTTCCACCAGTACGGAGCCGCCACTGAAAAGGCCCTGGCCCTGGTTATGGTCAGCCTGGCATTTTTGGGACTCAGGAGGGCCAATCAGTTTAGGGACCCTGAACGCAGTGCTCTCTGGGGAACATGTGGGGAAAGGCGGTCCCTCAGGTATGTCGGCCCCTGACCAAAAAGGGCTTTAAATGTAAGAACCAGCACCTTGAAGCAAATTTGGTATGCTATCGGCAGCCAGTGCAGTGCTTTCAGCACAGGATGGATGTGCTCCCGCATAGAAGAAGAAGAAGAGATTGGATTTATACCCCGCCCTTCACTACCCAGAGGAGTCTCAGAGCGGCTTACAGACTCCTTTCCCTTCCCCTCCCCACAACAGACACCCTGTGAGGTAGGTGGGGCTGATAGAGCTCTGACAGAAACTGCTCTTTTCAAGAATAGCTCTGTCAGAACTATGGCTTGCCCAAGGTCATCCAGCAGCTGCAAGTGGAGGAGTGGGGAATCAAACCCGGTTCTCCCAGATTAGAGACCGCGCACTTAACCACTGCACCAAACTGGCTCCATCAAAAGCCTGGCTGCAGCATTTTGCATTAGCTGTAGCTTCCGGATTTGGGACAAGGGCAGCCCCATGTAGAGAGCATTACAGTCGTCCAATCTCAAGGTGACCATTGCATGGATCACCATTGCCAAGTTGTTGCGTTCGAGGAAGGGAACCAACTGCCTAATCAGCCGAAGATGATAAAAGGCTGACTTGGCAGTGGCTGCTACCTGGGCCTCCACTGCTTCTCTGTCTCCTTGCCTTACATTCATGCCGGGTCCCACCACTGTACTTTCCCCTCCCCAGGAGGCATCCAAGAGCACTACATGATGGTCTCATGGAGCAGCAATAGGGAGGCCAGCTGGCAGATGCCCACTGCCTAAACCAAAGGCCTGTCGGAACAGCTCCAGTTTACAGGCCCTGTGAAACTGCAACAGGTCTCGCAGGGCCCTGATCTCAATCGGGAGCATGTTCCACCAGGCTGGGGCCAGGATCGAAAGGGCCCAGGCCCTGGTTGAGGCTAGACGGGCATCTTTCGGGCCGGGGACAACCAGCAGATGGCTCTCCACAGAGCACAAGGCTCTCCGGGGCACAAGGAAGCATACTTTGCTCTCCCTTCCTTTATCCTCACAACAACCCCGTGAGGTAGGTTAGGCTGAGAGTGTGCAACTGGCCTAAGGTCAACCCAGTAAGTTTCCAAGGTAGAGTGGTGATTTCAATCCAGGTCACACAGGTTCTAGTTCAGTGCTCTCACCACTACACCACGCAGATGTAATAAAATTCATGGCACTGGGTAATGAAGAGCCAAGAGTGCTTCATTCAGAACAGTTTAAGAGTGAGGGAAAGGAGTCCCCAAAAGGGAGATCCCCTCTCAGCTACAAAAAAGAGAGACTAAAAGTAGTAAGAACCAAGAGTTTCGGGATAACTTACTTTAGCTACTTAACAGAATTGCACAGTACATGCAAAATTAGTGCTAGAAAATGCCTATGCAATTGTACTCACATGTTTTTGCCGCAGCTGAATAAAGAATTTCTTTCGCTTGAAAGAAATTTTTACTATGTTCACCCTGGAAAAAAAAGACATACAAATAATGCTCCATAAAAATACAGCACCATTGAAATAAGGTTTGACAGACAATTTGGGCTTACTGTATAGATAATTCTTAATCATGATTTACATTAATCAACTTCTGTTTCAGCACAGGTGAAGCCCAATGAAAATAGCAAAAGCCAAACATTTATTAGGAATCCATATAAAACATCCTCTCTTTTACAAGACTAACGTGTCCCGTCCCCCCCATCACCATCTAGAAATGAAAAAGACCAGAAAAGAGAGGGGGGGGGGGGGATTGTTCATTTTTTTCCTAGGACCTTTCCCCCAATTTTGGGGACCACTGGAAAACCCTGATGTTTTTTTTCCCTCTTTGACAAAAGTGAAATGCTTTTTAAGACCAAGTTCTACACTCAAAATGTTCAGCATGAAAAACTGAGGACATAATTTTTCCAATGAAAATTTGGGGGAGCACTGAAAAACTAGAAGATACATTTTTCTTTTTGAATGAATGAAATATGTTAAGATAGTACAGGGTGCAGCTGTTTTCAGATCCCTGGCTTTAGTTTTGTGTATATCTGCACATTTGTTTGTAGAAAACGGAATTCCATAAATATGCCAATTAATACAATTTTATTTTCTAAATCAGAAATGAAGCCTTTTATGTTGTGAAAGCAGCAAAATAATTTTAGGAAAGCTGGTTATTTGATAAAGTTATTGACAGGAAAGTATCACATACATTTCAATTTCCCCCAAAGTTAATATTTTTTTTCCTGAAAAAAGAGTTTTTCTCACCATAGCTCCAAAATACCCCAAAAGTTTACATCTCTAACACTATGTGCTTTAGAAGCAGAATCCCGAAGCAAGAATTGTTCTAGTCAGAAGCACCTTACTACACAAGACCACTGAACTAATACAAATACCATTCTCACATGGCTTAGTTACTCACAAATTTGGCAATGAAACTAAAAACAACAATACTGAACCTAACTGGGCGTAGTGAGCAATTTCACAACACGAAGATTTACTTTCACAAAACAGGAATGTACAAGGTTGCAAAATTCCTGACAACCTTTCATGTTCTAATTTAAGAAGTATCACCCAAAACTAAACCAGCAGTATAGTCAAGTAAGACTAGAGTACATGACTGACAATGGATAGAACCTGAGTACAGCAGCCCTCTACAGAAATATTAACAACTTCTCACTACCATTGGCTTCAGATTCCAGTTTAAAATTGCCTTTGAGGGCTGAGACCTCAGAGGACATTCATTTCTTAAAGGTACAGGTTCTGCTTCTTTATTTGGGAGCGTTAAGTCTCCCCCCCCCTTTTTAAGCTTCTCAGGTGAGTTGTGTGCTGACCTCTACTGGGCCTGGCCAAGTCATGCAGGTTATGAGGAGTCTGCCGCTGGGTCCAGGCAAGTTGTGTGGCCACTACCACCCTTGGGTGAGGTGCACAAATCGCATGGTAGCAAGTTCTCTGGCAGTTGCTGCTGGGCCTGGCCACAATAAGTCCTCCCTCCAGAGCAGGCAGGCAGGGAACAAGGGTGGACTGGGAGGCCCAAAAAGCCCTGAAAAGAGCCCTGCCCCCCTCCCCCTCCATTTTAGTGACAGAAACCAAGGTTTAAAGACTGCCATACTATTGTGGATGCCTAGCAACCCCACTATGGCTGCTGAGATCTCACAGGGCATTCTTTTCTTAGAGGTACAAGCACTGGTTCTATTATTTTAATGGGATTAACACCCCCCCCCTTTAGGTTTCAGATTTTTCTGCAAACTTGGGGTTTCCCTCAGATTTTTAGACACCTCTTTCCTGTCTATTCATGGCCGCAAACCCTAGATTTAAGTATCCACCGATAAGGTCTTGTTGAGATAATATTGATGATATAATTCCTATTCCTTCACCCTTAACAGCCCCATAGCCAGGAATTTCTGGTTGGTGGGGCAGGGGCCGCAGCGCTGGGGCAGGGGAACTTAATTAGATTAAGTAATAATAGCGCTCCTCCCCCCCTCAGACGTTCCACTGGGTTCACATCATTACATCAAAGCATACCTTGCTACAACTCAGGCTCTATCTTTCTATTGAAGAGGGGCGGCAACAAGCATGGTAGGTAGGGGGAATAGGAGCAGAAAGCTAAGAAGCTGTGACCTGACTGTTGAGAATTAAAGGATGAAATGAGTATTTCTAGCCAGGACGCCATCCAGCCAAGGAAGGCTGAGGCAGCTAGTGAGCGCCAGGGCGAGCATCGAAAGCCAGACGCCGCAGGGTCCCAAGGCCTGGCTCTGAACTGGATAGCTACAGTTTCTGCGGTTGAGCAACTGAACAGCAACTGAACCAACAGTTGAGCAACTGAACAAAAAAAATGGTTTTTTAAACTTGCAATGCAGCATTATACAGTGTGAACTTAGTTACCTGAAATACAACTTTGCAATAGTAAATGAGTGCATGTTCCCACATGACAGATTACATCACCAAGAGGTTCATACTTCTGACTGGCCATCCATGGCAGGCCTAAAAGGTTACCTGAGGAGGTCATCAACTCTCCCATAGGCTGCAGGCGAGACAGGAAAGCATGATGGTGGCCATGCCCCCTTGACCAGAGGCAGGCCTGGTAACATTGAAATCACAGGTTTGGTTGCGAGTTGTTTCTGGCTGAAGCTAAACTCCCCCCCCCCCCCCCCGGTTTAATTTCTTTAATCCTTGTTGACAGTTTTCAATCAGGGTGGTTGGGAGCAACAAATTCCAACTTCTAGGTTTCTCCAGCACATCTTCATATCCGTATACACTGGAATTCCCCAAAAATCGTAGCGCTTTTACCCTTACAGAATTATAGAATCACAGAGCTGGAAGGGACCATACAGGCCATCTAGTCCAACATCCTGCCCAATGTAGGATCAGCCAACAGTATCCCTGACAACTGTTTGTCCAACTGCTGCTTCAAGACTGCCAGGGAGGGGGAGCTCACCACCTCCCTGGGCAGCTGATTCCACTGTGGAACAACTCTTACTGTCAAAAAGTGTTTCCTAAAATCCAGCCGATACCTTCCCGTCCTTAATTTAAACCCATTCTTGCGAGTCCTGTCCTCTGCTGCCAACAGGAACAGCTCCCTGCCCTCCTCTAAGTGACAGCCCTTCAGATACTTGAAGCGAGCGATCATGTCCCCCCTCAACCTCCTCTTCTCCAGACTGAACATTCCCAAGTCCCTCAGCTTTTCCTCAGAGGGCTTGGTCTCCAGGCCCCCAATCATCCTCGCCGCTCTCCTCTGCACCTGCTCCATTCTGTCCACATCCTTTTTGAAGCGAGGCCTCCAGAACTGCACACAATACTCCAGGTGTGGCCTGACCAATGCAGTGTACAGCGGGACTAGGACATCTTGCCATCTGGATGTTATGCCTCTGTTGATACACCCCAAGACTGCATTAGTCATTTTTTCCGCCGCATCACACTGGCTGCTCATATTTAACTTACGGTCCCCCAAGATCTTCTTCACGCACACTACTACCCAGAAGTGTGTCCCCCATCCAGTATGCATGTTCCTCATTTTTGTTACCCAGACGTAGAACTCGGCACTTATCCTTGTTAAATTGCATCTTGTTCACATCCACCCACTTTCCCAGTGTGTTCAGATCTCATTGAATTCTATCTCTATCTTCTGGTTTGTTCAGTGCTCCTCCCAATTTGGTGTCTGTTGGGAAATTAGGAGTGTGGGAACCTTTTACATGGACTCCCATCCCCACTGTGTTCATTGGGAAGGGAGTGAAGCTGGCAGGGATCCCAATTGCATCGAGAGAGAGAGGCAGACAGTTGTTCTAAACCAAAACTTAATTTATCCCATTACACACTCTTAAGATAGAAAGCACTTTGTAGAATTTCAATATTCAACACAGAATATTTCAACACAAACCCAATACTTAAAATAGTGCACTTGTATAAAACTCAGAACATTTTGGACTAGCCCCAAGGTCTCACATGGAAATGATGATGGCCAGTTCCTTACCATTAGTAAGCCAGAGTATATATCTTTCTTGGACCTCTAGCTGCTGACGTACCTATTACGTAGGACTATCATGAATGTGGAGCAGGCCAAACTAGAACTGACCCAATTTACAGACCCAAATCCCTCCCCTTCTGTCTATCTTCGGGGTCAGGAAGCTCACAGAAAGTCAAGGAGAGTCAGGGACGCTCGTTTCAGATACCCTCTCCATTTTGATTCTGATAGTGGCACCACTAACTTCTGGAATGTATAAACATCCTCGAAGGCAAAAATCATGTACAGAGTTATCAGTACCAGAAGGCCCTAGCACCCGCAGAGTTCTGAAACCTGTTGGAAAACAGAACCAAAGATTCAACTGTACTTTACTATAGAAATTAAATTTAACAGAGGACTGCGACTCAATACAGGCCCTAATTCCATCTGCAAATTAATTAGTAGCCCTCCACTCCCTCATCCAGATAATTTCTAAAAATATTGAAAAGTACTGGACCCAGAACCGAGCCCTGTGGCACTCCACTGGACACCTCCCTCCATTCAGATGAAATGCCATTGACAACTACTCTTTGAGTGCAGTTCTCCAATAGAGTCCAGTCCACAGTCCTCTAGTTTCCCATCAGAGCATCATGGGGAACCGTGTCAAAAGCTTTAATGAAATCCCAAGTAAACAACATCAATAGCATCCCTTTGCCCAACTAAATGTCCTCCCATCTGCCATTCTTGATGGGAGATACACTCATATCCCATATGAGAAAGTCTCTGTCCATTTTATTCTGGTATTGTAGAAAGAATTGAACATGTCCTCTTATGATGTCAGTTTTACCAGAGCATTCAAAATGTATACATCACTCCACTAGTGCACAATTATCCTGGCAGATCTGATCAATTTTATATTTCATTCCTTCTTGGCAATTGTTGTAATAAAATCACTTTTAAAGTAGCTAGATTTTGTGCCCCAGCATATTTAATCAGGCAGAAGAACACAGCTCTGTTTTAACAAATTTTAATCAAGAATGGCATTTTATGTTTTTATATGTATATATATATGACATGTTTAATGTATATGTCTGATGATTATTCTGATTGGCTTCTGATCTTGGATTGTAATAAACATTGATTGATTGATTGATTTTTTACATAATACTCTGTGCCCATGTTGTCCATGAGTGTGTGTGTGAGTGAGTGAGTGAGTGAGTGAGTGTGTGTGTGTGTGTGTGTGTGTGTGTGTGTGTGTAAGATAGATCCAGGTGGGTAGCCGTGTTTGTCTGAAACAACAGAAGAAAATTTGAGTCCAGTGGCACCTTTAAGACCAACAAAGTTTAATTCTGGGTATAAGCTTTCAATGTGCACACACAAACTTCGTTGGCCTTTAAAAATATATATATATATATATATTTATTTATTTAACAAGTTACAATCACATTAAGGTAAAGGTAAAGGTTTCCCTTGCTCGAAAGCTAGTCGAATCCGACTCTAGGGGGTGGTGCTCATCTCCGTTTCCGAGCCGAAGAACCAACACTGTCCGAAAAAGTTTTCGTGGTCATGTGGCCAGCATATAAATGCTGAGGTGCACGGAACGCTGTTACCTTCCCACCAAAGCGGTACCTGTTTATCTACTTGCAGTTTCTTGCTTTCGAACTCCGAGGTTGGCAGGAGCTGGGGCCAGAGACGGGAGCTCACTCCATCACGCGGCACTCAGGTCTCGAACTGACAAACTACAGACCTTCCAGTCTGCAGCTCAGCGTCTTAACCTCTGAGCTTGTATCAAATCAGAAGGTATGATACCGGGGGGGAGGAGCCTAGATCAGACAAAAGGATGGATGGCTGGATGGGATGGTCAAACAGACAGATGCTTCCAGATCTGATGGACAGGAACACAGCTAAAACTACGTATCAGGACATGTTATATGATGGAATGCTTGGTTGCTGGGTGATGGAGGAACTATTGGAAGTATGATTTTGCAGTACAGTACAGCCATTATTTCTAAGGACCAATAAAATCTACAAGACAAGCCTCTGACCTAAACAGAGATTTTACCCAGAGAAAGTCTGTGTATTATTTGGCCTTGACTATTTGCCCAACTACATGCTGATTTGGGGAAAGTGGCAGCATGCCAATCCCTGGTGCAACTGGCACTCAAGCTGGAGTCTGACTTGATAAACCGTGTGCTTCTCCGTGGCTCCCTACATCTGTGCTCACTGATGGCACTGTACCCATTCCTTCCATTGCCTGAAAAAGCACTACCAGAGGCTCTCTGAGTAAACCTGGTATCGTCATGAAGTCAATCATTAAACTATTCGGGGGGAGCAGGAGGGAGACTCAATTTCCACTCTTACTCAAAACGTTTCAGCACTTGATCAAGACTGATCCGATAATCAAACTTGACCAATTCATTTTACTTCCTATGCTCGGGGGTCAAAAGAGCATCTACATCTCCAAGGTGTGCCCTGCGCGGACGTTCTGATTGCAGTCCCATTGGATAAATGCATTTTGCAGTCCTGGTGATATAGGAACTTCATAATCCAAAGATGTCGTAGAAAGAAAGACTGAGTCCACTACCTCTTCAGTATTGTTATGAGCTTGGGCTGTAGATTCCTTTCGGTCTACCAGTCCCCCTAGAGTGCGTTGATTAAGAGGCCTTAGCTTTTGAACAGAGTTCTTTAAATTGTCTAAAGAAGAGGCAATATATGCTTGCTCATCTCATGAAGTCTCTTTTATGGAGGTAGATTTAGGTGGAGACATTTGAGCTGGTATCAATTTATTCTTCACATCCAGAGAAGATACTAAATCCAGAGATTGAGGTGTTGCGGATGTACTTCTTGGCAGAAGAGGGAGGACTCTCACATCTGCAAATACTCTGTGAGCAGAGACTGCAAAGGAAGCGAGGCATCTTTTCATTTTTAGCAGCCATCAAAGGTATTGTTGAGGAGGCAAAAGTTAAAAGCAATATAAACCCTCGGGAATTACCAGGGAATCTCTTAAATTTTACAAGGTCAATGATACAGCTCAATTCGTACAAGCTGGCTCAAAGAAAGTATGATGCTTCTTTTATTCGCCCAGTGATTACACTTCAAGTAGTTAAAGAAGATGTACAGCACCACTTGAGTTGTTTGGAAGCAGAGAGCAGAATCTACATTTTTCCCTTTTGGAATATCACCTTCTTCTTGGGGGGTGACTGTTGCTACATTCTTTAACTTTAAGAATGAATTGGGGAACTACGAATATGGCTTGAAAGGTCTGGAAATTTTGCTCCTTTGTAGATAATAGCTTGTCTTCTCACTGGAGGCCTTTACTGTGCTCATAAGTGTCATCAAGCTTTTTTGAGATGTTATTAAATTCTTGAAAAAAATAGCCATTACCGTTTCCCCCATTAGTGAGTAATGGTCTCCTATAAGCTTCATCAAGAAGTCTTTGAGGACTGCATATCCGGCTCCTCACCCTCTGAAAACATCCTTTCTTTATGAGGGGGAGTCAACTGCGGGGGAGATGTCTCAATTACATTAGAAAATTTGTCTCTTTTAGTTCCATTAGAAAGGTGGAAGTCCAGAGCTGATTGTAGTAGCTCCTCCTCCTCTACATTCAACACATTTAACATATTAGGAGTGGAATGAGAAGAAATGTCACTTACTTCAATGTCATTTATTCTTCAAAGGGAGATCATCAATGCATAGTTGTTTGGCTGATTTCGATGGAGAGCTGAAGTCCAGAGGTCGGCTTCATTTTTTCTTCCCCATTTTAACTCTCAGTGGTTATCTGTGGGAGTTGGAATTGAGTAATTCTCAGCATTCCCAAGGACGTGGCTGCTGTAGTATCAAAACCGGGCATTCAGCCAGTAGTTAAAAGATACAAAGACTCAAATCATTTGAATCTTATGAGTCAATTAAATACATCCAATCATAGCCAGGTAGAAACGTCGAAATTCAAGGGAAAGTAATTAAAAACAGAAAAGAACGAAGAAAACTGTAGAGCAGCTACAAGGTGCTGTTAGCTTCTCACGTCGAAATTCAAGGGAAAGTAATTAAAAGCAGAAAAGAACGAAGAAAACTAGAGCAGCTACCATCTTGTTTCCTCATCCCAACTGAATGTTCTAAACTTTGTTGGTCTTAAAGGTGCCACTGGACAAACTTTTTCCCGAAGTGAACAGGGTTCCCTGACAGAATGCCTGCCA